CAAACTTGAATTTTCACTCTGATCTTTTAAAACCTACCATTTTAGATTTTTTTCTGATATTAGAGCCATTAAAGCAATTTCATGCCATTTTCTCCGTAAATTTTATCCTTTACATAACTGTAAGACACAAAGAGCTTGGATGCTGCATATTTTATTTCTAAGCTCGTTCCATTAGTGCTATATACGGACTTCAAATGTTAAAGGAAATACATTTGTAGCCAATGAATTTTGAAATAGGTACTTTTAATATGAATATACTACAATATTCCAGATTTGCCACGTTAGGTTAAGACACCCCATTTGTATAAACTTCTGTATGGAGTCCAAACTTCACTGATGCAATAAGCTGTAATATTGATGGTACATTTTCAGCAGTAGATCTGGGCTTTCAGAAACTGTGTGAAATGAAGGTGAAGTCAATGTAAACAAAGGAAGAAGAGATGTAAAACATGCTGCTGATATCTTACCACCCATTTTATACAATTGCACAAAGTGTACCTCGAACCTCAGCAATTAAATACTTCACTTCTCTGTGTTTTAAAGCGCAACTTTTATTTTTTAAAAAATAAAGAATTCCTTGTATTCATAAAGTGCCTTTCAACACTCCTGAGACAACACAGTGTGGAGCTTGAGGAACACAGCAGGTCAGGCAGCATCGCAGGAGTATTGTGTTGTCTCTTACTCCAGCTTCTGCGGTTCTTGCTATCTCCTTTCCACACTCCTGGATGTCCAAAGCTCCTCCAAGGAATGAAATACTTTTGATGTGTAGTTACTGTACTAATTTTTACGGAATCGGTTTCGATGGCAATTTTTTAAAACATTGCAGTCACCATTCTGCAAAATCAGCTTTACCAGGCTGGACACTCCATCTATTTTAAGTAATAATTGACTTTGAAAGCAGATCCTCTTTTTGCATTTGAAGATGACAGTGTCAAGGAGGACAGAGAAAACATTTCTGAGATTCTACAGGCCTCAATGAAAAATGAAATAAAAGCATCAAAGTATTGCAGGAATTTGCTACGATCCAGGGCAGGACATAAAGCTACAGACGGTGCAAAGAATATGGAAGTAAGCATTTACATTAGACCTTTGATGCCTGTTGCTTAAGTTTTGATTTTCCGGATTGTGTTCAAGTCCTTTTTGTTCAATTATTTTCTTTAGGATATGGAAGGTTCTGACTTTAAGCAGCCACTAACAGCCCTGCTGTAACATCAGTCAGTCTGTACCTTAGTAGTTCAATTGCTCAAAATAAGAATTGTTCTATCAGATGAAGGCTCTTCCTCAACTGAAGTGGAGAGGCGAAGATGACAGAGGAATGATTTGTTAGTTGAAACAGCAGTTTCCACAGTTGCTCATGGCAACCAGATAAGGTAATAAACTGCCTCTTAGAAATCTTAGTGGGAAAGAGAAAACTTGTTGTTGAGTAAAGTGTAGAAGAGAACATCAGATCCCATTATAATCAAAGGCTTTTTAAGTAATTGCCATGCCGTGTTATACATGTAAGTATACTAAAATTATAAGTGCAACTAACAAACTAACATTAAGGAATTTATACAAATGGTTGTAGATGGTAGAGAGGAGCACCAGCCCACCAACAGGGGGGATTCAAAGACAAATGCTTTTAACACCAAGGACTGAATGACGTATGACGAAGGGTATAAACAGATACCCTCATGAAAGGACACCAGAAAACTGATAACATTGTAAGGGGGCAATTGCAAAACATTACTTAATCACAATGACCTCAGGAAAATAATCGCAGCTTCACAAGATAACAAACAGCACTCACTCAGTATGATGCAGCTGGCAAATATCTGGGGAGGGGCATAATGGTCAGAGGGGAGGTGGCAAGCGCTGATGTCAATGCTGTATATAATCATTGTAACACAGAATGTATAAATATCCTGTATTTTATTGAGAGAGGCAGGGTATCCAAGACACCTTTTCCATGCTGTGTGGTAAGGATTCCAATTAAAGATCGAGTTGGGCTACTAAACATGGAACTCAGATTCCTCTTTAAAACCATTTCTAATGGGAGGCCAGCTAGCCATGCACTGCTTTGAATGTGTGTGTGTGTGTGTGTGTGTGTGTGTGTGTATGTGTGTGTGTGTGTGTGTGTGTGTGAGAGAGAGAGAAGAGGGTGCCTATACCTGATACCTATTGCTGTAAATGTTTTCACATTAGTGCCACATAAAAGTCTTGCCACAAACACACTTTTCAGGAGGCTTTATAAAGTACCAAACAGATGAAGAGTTCCTGGCAAAGTGTACAAGAAATTTTTTGCCAAAGCTAACTTGATAAAGATGTAGGACACCAATGATTGTACCCATGTGGCAATCGAATTACACATGGCAGAGACAGGGGCTTTAGTGTTGTGTAAAGTGTTTTAATCACTCAATATCTGACTAATGTGGACCCATGGTTCTCCTGGTTTGTACAAAGCATCCTGGGAGTTGCGGTGACTTTTGTGCTCTCTGGCATTCCCAGATTTCAAGGTTTTCAGCGGTCCAACATGATTGGTGGTTGGCTGTGGTGTGATAGAGTATACCCTCTGAAAAGATGGATAATGTTATGTATCAGAGACGCTAAAACCCTGCCGAAGAGAGGTATAATAGAAACCAGGCAATCACAAGGATCATAAATTAAGAAGACAGTTGGGCTGCTCAACATGAAGTTCCGTTCCTGGACCGAGCTGGAAGCTTACATCAATATGCATCGGATCGTGTTTCCTTCCTTGCGCGGGTAAGCTTTTTTTTATGGAGATCAGATGGAGGGTGTCAGCTGTGACCTATGGCTACAAATGACGATTCAAATACAAACTCCAATGATGACCCTGAACAGCCATCGTGCCATGCTCAGGAGCCTACAGGTTAAGGGAAGCTTTCAATCAGAGGTGCTTCCACCAGGCAACGAAATCCTCATGGACTCTAAGGAAGAAATCAGTTACATCACAGCTAAGTTTGCAGGAATTCTCTTCTGAAACCCTCTTGCACAACTGGCACCTCCAAAAAGTGTCCACGATCAATTACTTTTTGAGGTCGAATTGCAGGCATCCAAACTTCATGCTATTCATAGCACAGGAACAATATGTTATGTGAAAAATCAAATTAATAAAGTGAAATGGAACAACGAATACGAATTACACAGTTGTAGCTATCATCCACGTATCGTTCTCTGTGTTTAGTGTGATGTGTTAACTTTTTATAAATGTTTCATCACTTGCAGTGGCACTGGAGGCAGGCTGCTGAATCGATACTCATCAGCTTGGATGTCTGTGGCAATCATCCTCTGTTTGTAAGAGGCGGTAAGGACCCTGGTGGTGAGTGGCAGGCCCGTCTTCAGATATGACTGAACACTATTGCTGGAAGTAGGGGCCAAGAAGGAGCTATCACAATCAAAAGCAACTTGAGAGGAACCTCCGGGGTGGATTTATATGCCAGCATGAACTCCCTGCACATTGTTGCACACTAATGTAGCAGAGGCAAAACGTGCTTTTTCCATCTCTCTCACTGGCAATGCACTGCTGAGGTCACAGCCAGTATGTGTGATTACACACTATATACACAATCTCAGAGTGCACTGATAGGGCTGATGGAACTGGATTTTGTTAAGTGTCACAAATCATTTGAAAGGTGCCATGAGTCTGGGGGAGCAATACTGCAACACTCACCTCCTATATGGACAACTCCATTGTATAAATTAGGGCACACATACCTTCTGGAAGATCCAACCAATCTCCAAATATTGAATGATCGACAGCTACCTGATGGATTAATCCAGAGGCTTGTCGTCTACCTGGAGCTGAGCATCTTGCTATTCTCCAACACTCACTCCGATGAGAAATTGCAGTCTCCAACATCTGCTCAGGTGATTGTGTTGTGCTGTTATCTAGATGGATGCAGTCCACTCTATCGAGGTGCCAGAATCTGAGGTGGTGTACGCTGACGTGTGAGGATGTCATGGTGCAACATCCGAGGGATTGTCATGCTCTGAATACAATGGAATTTGATTTTGTCTGAACAACGAACCTGCTGAAAACAACAAGTCCACATGAGCACTAACCAGGCAGACAATGTAGTTGTTGTAGGTTCCTTTATGTCAGAATTGTGCTTTTCACAAATATGAGAGTACAGCATATCAAAAGGCAAGTCATCATGAGCTTCCAGTCCCTGCCCCTGTGTGCTCTTATCTCATGATACCCCGTGTTGAAAACACTTTAGTTTTATTCTCACTCTTCAAAAACCCCTGCCTATCACTTGCATTCCAGTTAACTCAGCTTTGTTTTCAGATTGCCTTGCCTCAGTTCTGATAATGAGTTTGTCCTGCCTGTTGTAATGACCAAGGCTGGAGGAGTGCACTGTAACTCGCACCTCACTACTCCACAAATCACAACATAAAAGTTAAAATACTTTCCCCAGTTATCCAAAGGGCCAATACCTGATCTAGATCAGGTCTTAAGCAATAAGATCCATCAACCAGATTTCTTAATAATCATAACTTTTAATTCATTAAAAAAGAAAACACATTCAACACAATGCAATAATTGGTTAATATGAACAGCTAGTAATTTAGAAGTATAATTGCTTAGCCCTTTAAGTATCACCAAAACACACAACCACATTCTTAAGGAAAAGAGAAAAAAAACTTCATTTTCTGCACCAGTTGGCTTTGTGAGAAAAGCAATGACTTTTGGCTCCTGGTTTATTCTTGAAGATAAACATAAAGCACAGGCTTTTCCAACCTATCTTTCTGACGTTCTGGCATGTGTGGTTATGTCATTAACCGTGCATGCATTTCGCTGGAGCCTTTCGGACACGCTTATTCAGGAAATATTCCTCCAATCACTCCGAAGACAACACGAGGGCCTCCTTTTCGGAAATGGGAGAGATCAGCTGGAAGCCCTTTTTTGCAGACTTCTTATCCCCAAACACAGCCAGCTATCAAAGCACTCAACATCTAGTCACGGTTCAAACAGCTACAGCAGGGTCTACTGTACTCACCAGTCACTTGATTTCTAAAGAGCTCTGTTTGTAAATAAAACATCTCCAGTGCCTGCAGTGACCATTCAACAAACTTTTCCCAAAGAAAGCACTCCAGGTATTTCCACAAAACCTGAAAAATAATTTTTTTTTCATAATCTTTCAAAACTTAATGCCTCCAAGAAATACTAAATATGAAGTGTATTCATAACATTCCGCAGTTGGATATCAGTGAAAGGTTCACACTGAAGATTGAATTGCAGTCAATTTCAGATTCATTGCTTCCCCCAATTGAATTTAATTGCGCAATACTGGCAGCCCTTGCAAACATCCATACTCAGTTTATCAGTAGCAAGTACAATCAAAGAGGCCATTTTGCTCTTGCACCCTGGTCCACAAATGCCTAACAGCCCTAGGCCTGTGAATGCATGCCTTGCCCACTGACTCACCTCAATCTGTACACATTTGCAGTGGGCAGCTGGTGTAGAGCTGGAGTGGACATTACATAACTTCCAAAACGGTACTGACTGTTTACTGAGCTTAGCGTTTTAGCCACTTTTCTTGGTATAACTGGAACAAAATCCTGGTGCACCAAAGTAGGCCTTTCAAACAGCCTGGCTTGGCACCTGACAGCCCCTGAGGCTGCCTCCACAATCTCTTTCAGGGTGAGTGGGCGCCATTCCTGTTCGCACCTGCAACACCAACACAAAAGTTTGGAACACTTTCTCTGAATTGAGCTTGCAGAGTCACAAACTCTCTCCTGATGTAGGGGTAACAATTTTACCCTGATATTCTGCCATCTGCCCACTAACAATCCCCTCCCCCAACTGCTCGATCAAAGAAATCAGCCGTTTTGAATTTTCTCCTGAGTTTCATTCTGGTCCTGTTGGCCCTTGAAAGTTTAGTAATACTGTTAATGTCATCAGATGAGAAAGAGACAGATGCTATTTAATTTTCAGCACTGCTAAAAGAAAAATCCCCTAGCTGCCAACAGCCATTACCTTCAGATCACGTCGCAATCTCCTCTTCAAGAAAATGGTTATCACTCCGTATGTCATTATGTATTTTAGTTTTATAATCTTTGATTTTAATTATCTCAAAATTAATTTTGCACTTTCCCACATGATATTACCATCATGGCCTGCTAAACCAACAGCCAGCTGGAGACCAAATGCTCTTCTACTCCAAGTGGAGTATAATCACATTGTGGCTTGTTACTGGACTAGTAGTCTATAAATCTAGATGGTGATCTGGAGACATGCATTCAAATCCCTCTGCAGTAGCTGTTGAGTTTTAATTCTACAAATTTAAGTTTAAAAAGTTGGTCTATGTAGTGGTGACCAGGAGGTTACCTGCATGTCACATAAACCATCTGATTCATTTAGTGTTCTCGAGGGAAGGAAGTCTGCCATGTTTTGGTCCGTATGTGTCTCCAGATATCACCATTGTGCCTGACTCAAAGCTGCCCTCTGAAGTGGCTGCACACAACACATTCGGTTACATCTATGATGGGGTCTGACCACTTCCAACACAGCACAGTTAGAGATGGGCACTAAGTGTTGGTCTTGACATTGGTGACTGCATCACATGAACTAGTTTTTTTTTAAGAAATCTATTAAGCTCAATATTATCCTAATGGATTTGTCCGGTCCTGTTGTCAATTATTGATCAATTATGAAGTTTGTGTGTTTTGGACTTGACATCAACCAGAAATTGAGTTGAACTGCCTCATCAGAACTAAAAGATGCCTCTCTGCCTGTTCCTGTCTAATAGCTGGATTTGTGTGATTGAGTGTAAATTACTTTCTTTTTTAACAGATAACAGATTGGATGTACCTGCTAATGGTTTGTTATTGCTCAGTGTGTTCTGACCCATTATAGAGTGAGTCATTATTACTTACTTTGTTTATTTCAGAGACATTTCAATCCCTTGCGGTCAATAAAAGCACATCACATTCATCACAGTTCATGATTGATGTATCTAAAAGTCAGGCTTGTTGGACAATTTCTTGGAGGTGCTATTTGTCAATTGAACCTTTTGTAAGCAATTGAGGCCAATAAGCTGCTCTGACAAGAAAGGCTGGGGTTAATTCATGCAGCCTCGGTTCCACAAGAAAATGATGGTAGAGCTTCAAACATACATGAAAAAAAGGAGGCCATTCAGCCCAAATATACCTCTGGTAACTCTTCTGAACATTTGTGCAACTAGTCTTATTCGTCTATTCAACCTCATAGTCCTGAAATGTTGTTCCATTCTAAGTATTTATTCAATTTATTTTTGGAAATTACTCACAAATCTATTTTTTACTAGTATTCCTGTACTCCAAAACCTTTGAAATAAAGGCAAAGCCTGGTAATCCTCGATAGCAGTCAGTGGCAAAGCAGGTAGTTGGCAGCAATGGCAGTTTGTGGCGTAGCAGCTGGTGAGCCCAGGTGGGATTTAGCCTAGCCCTGGTGAAAATGTGCCCAGCATGGGAAGAGCGAGCCTTTGTGGGGAAAGCCCAGGTCTATACCTTAAGAACGACTGTAATGTTTAGCGATTAACTTTATTTCTTTGTTTTTCTACTTTTCACCAAGAAGATCTGTAATGTTGAACTTTTAAACTTACTTATTTAATTTTCTATTTTTGTACCTAAAATGGCACTGGGAATGAGGAGTTTGTACACTTTTCACTGTACTCCTGTACTCCTGTACTTGAGTACACATGATAATAAAACCTAATTCTAATTCTAAAATTCTAATATTCCGTTAGACTTCCTGATGGCCTGCTGTACCTGGGTGCTGACTTTCTGTGTTTTATGACAAATACTCCCAAGTCCCTTTGTGTTGCAGTATAATGCAGTTTTTCTTCATTTAAATAATACTCTGTTGTTTTGTTCTGACTTCAAAAAGATGCAACTTCCTAATTTCACATTTGCAATCATTATAGTGGAAGATACTCTGAACATACCATGAATACTAAAGAAAAGGGGACAGGAATTAGGTACCATCACTAGAGGAGTAGTATTAGATAAACAAATAGGGCTAAAGGCAAAGAATTCCCCTGATTCTGATGTTTTGCTTCCTAGGATCTTAAAAGATGTAGCTACGGAGATAATAGATGCATTAGTTACGATTTCCCAAAAACCCTTGGACTCTGGAGAAGTCCTGGAGGATCGGAAAAATGTCATTGGGAAATGCCTATTTGAAAAGGGAGGGAGGCTATGTGTTGATTAGCCTTGTTGGAAAAATATTGGATTTAATTATCAAGGAAGTAATAGCAGTACCTTTGAATAATTCTCATCTAATCAAGCAGAGTCAGCATGACTTCATTAAAGGGGAATTGTATCTGACTAATTTATTAGAGTTTTTCAAGAAAGTCTTAACCAGAGTGGATAGAGGGAGCAAGATAGAAGGAATGTCCCAAAAGAGTAAGTCATAAGAGTTGATTGATTGATTTATTGATGGATTTATTTATCATCACATGTACCAAAATACAGTGAAGAGCTTTGTTTACGAGTGGTACATGCAGATTATAGTAAGCAAAGGGTGTACAGATCAAGAAGACTTCGACAGTGGCATAGGTTACGCAGCACAGGGGTGGGCTAGGCAAGATGAGTTCATGGTGTTGGAGGTGGTATCCGTGGAAACAGACATTGAGCAGTAGAGGAAAGGAGGAGAAGAATCAGAGATGGAACATACAAAGGTGACAGAAGTCCAGAAATTTGAAGCAAAGTTGACAACATTTTCCAGTTCAGGATGAGAGCAGGAAATGGCACTGATTCAGACATCAATGTACAAGAACAGAGTTGAGAGAGGGGATCTCAATAGGGCTTGAACAAGTACTATTCCACATATCACACAAAGATCTACAGATAACTTGGTACTTGTGGGTAACTATAGCAGCATCTCAAAGAAGAGCTTCCCAATTGCAGTAGTCTCGAGTTAACACAGTGTACCAGGGGTAGACACTGTATCGGGTGCCCTGTTCATTTGTTTGAATTGTGAAATTATGAAATTGAATTGTGCTAATTACAGCATTTTGCTGGAAAATATTCTAATTTTATCATGATCCATTAATATAGTTTCAGCCATCAGTGGTCTTTACTCAAGTTTATTGAGAGTCTTCTTAAATATACTCTTCAGAAAGACTCTTTATTATTTACTTAATAAAGAGGTTGAGCTTTTGTTTACCTGTTAAATAGCCTGCACCAAGTCCTGCTTTAAATTCCACTCTGCCTCTAGCTTATCGGCTGGCAGCTGAAAATCCTTTGCAGCAAGTGTCATTAGTGATATTCATCAGTTTCCATCAAATCATTCATCATTGATGCATCTTTGTCAAAGAAAGTCAGATGATGAAGTTTCTCATGCACACTGGCAGACTTGATAAGAGGGTTATAAGGTTTCTGTCAATAGCAAGCTTTCCCTAACTTTTCCTAGAAATGTTTCATTCTTAAATCAGACACCAGTGACTATTGAGTATCCAGAGCACCTCATCCGGGCACAAAGCCAAATTCTCAGTCAATGTCTTTCCCCTCAGCGAAGGATTACCATGCTATGAACACCAAGAACTCTTTCTTAATGTGCTGTATTATTTATCAGGCAAAACTCTTGAATGTCATCAAGCTCTGTGCATAATGTCATGTCCAAAAAGCCATGCGTTAACATTTTGAAAACTATTATTCTCAATACACTATCCTTTCTTTCCTTGTTCATAATCTCCCCTCTTTCCATTATCTATTTCTTCCCTTCATTTCTTTTCCTTATTCTCTTCTATCCTCCTTTATTTTTACTTCCATTAATCCCTCCCTCCCTTCTACCTTTCGACATCTTCTTCTTCCAATTATTCCTTCTGCCTTCTTGCTTGCTTTTTCTTCTTCCCTTCCTTCTGAAAGAAGGCACCAAATTCCAGCAAAGTTCAAACAACTTGGCTCAAGAGTAACTTGTGCAAAGCAAGATATCCCACATCAAGCTTACCATTTTCTGCTCAGGAGAGTTGAAAGCAAGGATCCAAGAGTGAAATATTGAAGTTCTGTCTTCCTACTACCCACAGTGCATGGTCTGATGCTTATAACATTTTGAGGTTTAATTTCAGTATTTAGTGGTTTTCATTTCTGCTTTCTGTTTATTGTTTAAATTATTGCCTTTCTTTTAAAGCAATTGGAATTCAGATTTATTCCTGATTACTTGTAGCCATTGTTTACAAACTGTGAAGCATTGTATAATTTCTCTGCAGTAAACTTCTGGTCAACCACTCCACATCATTTCAAAAAGTAGATTTCCTATAATTTTTGTCCTGGCATTTTGCCAGGCTTGTTACACAATTGATGAAAGCTAGTTCATTGTTTTTTTTTTCAGTTGAAACTTTTACAAATAGGGTTATTAAGTCAATTTTGAAATAAAAAATAGCCTTAATGTAATTAAGTCATTTTGAAATTTAAAAAAATGCCTAAATGCATATCATTAGCATGCAACTGATGTGGAAAATCACAAGGCAAAATTATCAATTAAATATAGAGTTGCATGCAAAGACTCATATTGAGAAATCAGCTAAAATTATGGGATTGGAGTTACCGTTTGATTACATTGGTTTTCTTGGAAATCCTTTTATTCTGGAGTACCTAGCACAACATATCCCAGAATTTTGAATTGCATTGCAATGCATCTCAAACTTCTGTGATATTTTGCACTTGATTTAAAAATGTTCGAAGTGG